ATCTGATTATTTATCTTTTGCAACTTAAGGTATCTTGTTGTAATAATGTGTCAACTTGTTTTTTTATATAACGAGTATTTGTAAATTTATATAATGAGAAATTTGTTAACAGTACTTTACGCTTACTATAGGGGTTTGATGACAAGACTTCTGTCTTCTACTTGCTCCTGTCGTTATTAATTTTTTTATTTAAATTTTATTGATGAAAATTGTAAAACAAGAACGTTGTAGAATGTTTATAAAAGCCATATTATATATATAAAAAAATATAAAAAACTTAAAAAAACGAATTGCAAGTGTACGTATTAAATGCTTCATTTTCCCTTAATTTAGACAATTTTCTGCATTTTTATGAAAGATCTACATATTTAGCAACACTTACGTTGCAAGAAATATATGTACTTATTAAAAATATTCTTAGAGTTCTGAAATTTGTTTTTGATGTTGTTATCTACCTTAAAAGTAAAATATTAAATATATTTACAATTAAAATTAAACTATTATAAAATAAAATTAATAGTAATTACATTGCATCTAAAAGTTAATTTTAAAAATGCGTAGTAAAAGTAATTTACTTTCACAAATAAAAGTAATTTACATAAGTAATAACATAACTTAAAAAAATTACTTATAAATAAAAATTACTTGCTAAAGTAATTTATAAAAAAGTTATTTAGATGTTACTTATATAAAGAATTTTTATTTTTTATCTTTAATACATATTACTATAGTTTTTTTTTTCTTTCATATTATTATTTATGTTATACTTTATCATTCCGATTGCGATATATCTGAAGAAAACCATGGTAGACATGTCCACGTTTTGAATTGGTAAAGTTTCTTCACAGTTTCTAGAATTATAGAAAAATAAAAAAAATTGTTGATAAAAATATAGACAATTATATAAATGTCGTTATATATTCCTTTTGCAAATTAAAAATTGTAAAACAAATATATAACGTTATTCAAAGGGCTGTTCATATATATGAAAAACAATTTGCCTGGGAAAGAAAAACCACAACAATTTAGCGTGATGTTGTTTGTTTTCCAGATGTATTCGATTTAGATATGATAATCTTAGGAGCAATTTTTATATGTAGAAAAGTTGACAGAACTCAAACGAGGTAAAAAGATTTCTCACGTTGCATGTGCCGGATACATGGTAATAATGAAAATATATAATAAATACGTAACAATTGTATTAATAATGAAATTATATAAAAAATCTGTTAATATTTTCTTACTTTTGTGCTTAAAGAAGACAATATTTTGTCTATCTTTTTCTGTAACGTGTCGGAAGTGTGACGAGAAGTCTTTGGTTTTTTTGCAAATGTGTTTTTCTATCAACCCAAACAAATATTATATTGTGGCCTTTCTTTGATCTTAGACACAAACACACATTAAAATACTGCATAGTTTTTGCTAGTTTTATTATATATTATGTATTTTATTTTGCTAGTTTTATTTTATTATATTTAGTAGTTCTGAAAATACTTAAATTTTGATAATTCCAGTATGATAAAAAATCAGATATTTATAGAGACTAGCAAAAAGCAACCCGTAATACCCGGGTTTTGGTCGGTCTGTTACATAATTAATTTATAGTGGCTGTTTTCCACAATTTAATGTTGCAAAACCTTAACTAATACCCTTTTAGAAAATCGCCTTCTGCTTGAAAAAATTAATCCATCTGTAAAATTAACATAAAAAGTATGAGGAGGTAAAATAATTTACCAACTACTTACTTAACATTTACAATTACTACTTAACATTATTTGAGTAATTTACAAATGGCATAGGTCATAACAGTGTAAGGCAGAACCATTTTCATCGACCTTAATAAGTTTAACACAATACGTTTTTAGTTACTGACACAAAATAATAACACTTCGTCATGCTTTAAATTGACAAAAGTATCAACGAAATCCTTGAATTAATTTTTATAACACGAACCATTAAGATTAAAATAAAGTTAAAAAGAATAAATTATATTATACAGGAGTTATCAATTTTTTGGTATCCCCTTGATTAATTTTTCTTTAGAAAAGAAAATTGTTAACTTAAAAATGTTTAATGCAGACATTTAAATAAATTTATTAAAAACAACAAAGTTTATTTTAAATAACTAAGCAACTGAGTACAAATACGTTTCAAACAAAAAAAATTTAATTTACAATCAAACATGGGTATAATAAATTTGAAAAAATATGTAAACTTAATGCATTAATGCATCGTATGACAAACCTAAAATAAAAATTATAACAGATAAGTAGACATAAAAATTTGTAAACCAAGCTGACCCGACCCGGGTCTTGTTAAGTCTGTTCAACACAGACCATTTCTATATCATTTGTTTGGCCTCTTTATTTCATTAATTTTTAGTAAACGGTATTTTGCCACCATTTACTAAAAATTCCTTTTGTAACTCGAAATTTAGTTTTCTTAAATATTTTGACTCTAATAAAGAGGTTCCTCACCTCTTTTTGCCTTAATGGTGACCAGGTGAATAAAATAAAATAAGAAAATGTAAAACAATAATCTACATATATAAAAATGTTTTTTTTCTTTCCTCAAAAGTGTTGCAAATACAGACTAAGCTAACTAATTAGTTAAACATAAATAAAACTTGAGTAACTCGATAATAATGCGCAAAATATTCTCCATGTTTTTAAAGGTTTTTAGTTACGACCCCCCATTTACAAAGATCTCCTTAAAATACGTACAACAAATTATTAGGCATAAAATAGATAAAATATAAAATTAACTAATAGCATATATTTATATCTTTTTAATTAACAAAAATTTACAATAAAAAGAAATCAGGTTTTTTTATTTTATAAATCTTATAAATGCGTCATAACGTAATTCTAAAAAAATAAAAGTAATGAAATTATGATATCATAATTACAAAGAAGAAAAAAAACAAAAACCACTACACAATTACCGAAAATCGATTTACCAATTTATAGTAACCTATTTTGAAATTGCAGTTAAAGATTTATCAAAAATGTAACTATAAAATCTGTTTCGAAGTACAAAAGCATTAACAATACTAAAAAAAAAAAATCAAACCAAAATATAAATTGTTGTCTTGGCTTTTATAGTTTAAACATATATACAACTATAAACAAATATGACTTTATAACACATATAAACACATTTTACAACTATTGGATGATAGATATATTTATCAAATACTATGAAAAAAAAAAAAAAAAATAATGATAAATAAAGTTATACATACAAAATGTGCTCACAATCTTTAACAGTAAATTTTCGAAATGAAAATCTCAAGACTATAAAATAAGAACATTAAAAAATATAATAATATTTATGTTACATTTTTTTACCTACTATACCTTGAATAAGATGTTTATCAATTATATATATATATATATATATATATATATATATATATATATATATATATATATATATATATATATATATATATATATATATATATATATAACTATGTGTAACTATATATATCCTCGGCAGCATAATAGTGTGTTAGAAGAAAAAAATTTATAAACCCGCGTTAATAACCTGTTTTCTATCGTACATAATGCATTAATAATGCATTAATAAGTTTTATTACGTGTTTTGTTTCCCAACGCATGAACTATGGCGCTGTCGCAATTTTTTTTTTTTTATTAGAAATAAAATAAGTTTTAATAAGTTTTTGCTGATGTGGTTGCAGGTTTTTCTTAACTTCTATCAAATAAACTTATAAAAACCTGTATTACTTTTGATGAGGGCAAATTAATTTTATTTTGCATTTGTTTGTTTTCTTTATATATATTTGTTTTGAAAATTTTTTTTTTTTAATTTTTCGAGTATGATTTTTTTAGTTATTAAGTTTTTTTATTTTATTGTTAACTTTAGATTAGTAAAAAAAAAAAGAAATAATTAGTGTTGCTTTGATAAATATGTTTAATGAAAATGATGACATTGAAATGGATGATAGGCTAGATGTAGTTTTGTATTTACAAGATGATGTAAGTGCTATAAGGCGTGTTGAAAATAATCGTAGACGAAATGAAAGAAATAGACTTAGGCGAGATGAAATTAATTGTTTACAAAATGAAAGAAATAGGCTCGATCGAGATAATATTAATCGTCGCCAAAATGAAAGAAATAGGCTCGATCGAGATAATGTTAATCATCGCCAAAATGAAAGAAATAGGCTCGATCGAGATAATGTTAATCATCGCCAAAATGAAAGAAGAGCTGTTGGACAAGGACAAATGTATTCTATAGCGAGAAATAATGCTATTCCAGATTATAATTATTTAGGAGAAATGAATCAAATTTGTCAGCACTGTGGTGCTAAGAAATTTCCAGATGAAACACATTTTCTATGTTGCCGTAATGGTAAGGTAGCTTTGCCTCCACTTTCACCAATTACACAAGCTTTACAGGATTTGTTTACAGGGAGTTATGTAGATTGTAATGCTAATGCTAATTTTTTAAAACATATTCGAAATTATAATGCCTGCCTTTCTTTTGCTTCTTTTACAGCAAATGTAGTTCAACCAATGAATCATGGGCTTCCATGTTTTAAAATATGTGGCCAGATTTTTCATCGTGTAGGTAATCTTAGGCCAGATCAAGATATTCCACCAATATATTCTCAACTATATATTTATGATCCACTTGCTGCACTAAATTTTAGAATGCAACACTATGCTAATGATCTTTGTTTACGTGATTTGATGTTTCAATTGCAAACTATAATTATGGAACAAAGTCCATTTGCTCTCGCATTTAAAAACATGGCTGAAGTAGAAGATGAAGAAATTCGTAAGGCGGCTATAGAAGGTCGCTCAGCTTCTGTTGTAAAAATGTCTTTACTTGAAGGCGGTGATAGACGTCGTTATAATCTACCTTCACATGATGAAGTTGCAGTTGTATTTGTTGGCGAAGATGGTGCTCCCCCAACTTCCAGGGAAGTTGTTATTTACCCAAGAGGTCATCCTTTAAAAATTGTATCAAGTATGTCAGCCAACTTGGATCCTATGGTTTATCCGCTACTTTTTCCAAGAGGTGATGCTGGTTGGCATAATCAATTGGTGCATAACCCTGAGCGTGCCACACTGGTTAGAAATCATGTTACATTATCTCAGTTCTACAATTATAGACTTTCTGTTAGGCAATTTTTCTGTTCATTATTTTATGGCAAGAAACTATTTCAGCAATATGCTGTAGATGCATATGTAAAAATTGAAGGCCAGCGTCTTGCTTTTATCAGAAATAATCAAAATAAGCTGAGAAGCAGTACGATGCCTTACATGAACATATTAACAACATTGCCAATGATCGTAATATTAGACCAGGACGAGTAGTAGTTTTGCCATCATCTTATGTAGGAAGTCCTAGAGCTTTAAAAGAAAACTTTGAAGATGCTATGGCAATTATTAAAAAGTATGGTAAACCATATCTTTTTATAACTTTTACTTGCAACCCAAAATGGCGTGAAATAACAGAAAATTTATTTTTAAACTCAAGTTAAATAACCTCCTCAATGATATATTTAAACATGGTGTATTAGGCAAAGTTGTAACCCATGTTCAGGTTATTGAGTTTCAAAGGCGTGGTTTGCCGCATGCCCACATTTTACTTCATTTAGCAAATGATGATAAACTTGAAACATCACAGGATATCGATAATTTGATTTGTGCAGAAATTCCAGATCCGATAGTTAATTGTGAACTTTATGATATTATCAAAACTTGCATGATTCACGGCCCATGTGGGATACTGAATCCAAATTCTCCCTGCATGAAAGATGGGGTGTGCAGCATAAAATATCCTAAAGATTTTAATGCCAACACAGTAGCTGTTCACAATGGTTATCCGCGCTATAGGCGTCGTGATAAAGGGTTGGTTATCAATATTAAAGGCAACAATGTAGATAACCGTTGGGTGGTACCTTATAATCCTTGGTTATCAAAGAAATATCAAGCCTACATTAATGTTGAAGCTTGCATGTCTGTAAAGGCTGTTAAATATTTGTATAAATACATATACAAAGGCCATGATTGTGCAAATGTTTTGATAAATGAACAGGTTAATCACGATGAAATAAACACTTTCTTAGATTGTCGTTATGTTAGTGCACCTGAGGCACTGAGGCGAATATTTGAGTATCCCATAAGTCATATGTCACACTCTATTATCAGTCTTAAGGTTCATCTTCCTGAGAATAAGATTGTGTATTTTAGAGAAGGAGAAGAACAAGTGGCGTTAGATCGTGCTGCTCATCGTGATACACACCTTACGGCCTGGTTTAAATTGAATTCTGAAAATGAAGCAGCCAATCGCTATTCATATGTTGACATTCCATATCACTTTGTATTTGATGATAAACATTGTAAATGGAAGGTTAGACAAAGAGGTGGAAATAAGGTGATAGTAAGAATGTAAAAAGTTAGTCCAACAGGAGAATTATTTTTTCTTAGATTGTTACTTTTACAAGCAAAAGGAGCAAAATCTTGGGAGGATTTGCGTACTGTTAATGGAATAGTTCTTGAAACCTTTCGTGGAGCGTGTGTTTTTAATGGTTTGTTGCAAGATGACACTGAATGGCAGAATACTCTTTCTGAGCCAGTTTTAACGCAAATGCCTAAGCAAATCAGGCAGCTGTTTTCAATTATTTTAACCTTTTGTGAACCTGATGACCCTTTGCATCTTTGGAATTCATACAAAGCCTTTATGATGGAGGATTTCATTCATCGCCAAGTTCCATTTATATTAGCTGAACAAGCTACTCTTCTTCAAATCAAAAAGATTATTAATCAAAGTGGTAAAACGCTATCTGATTATAATTAAGATTTAAAGTTTACTTTAGTTTATAGTTTTGGTTTAGTTTATAGTTTTATTTTTAGCTTTAGTTATTTTTTTCTTACTTTAGACAAATTTATGGATGAAATGAGGGGGATGGGTAAAACAATTAATTAGATATGTATATATTTATATGTTAACATTATTTTATCGATTATTATATATTTATTTAAGTATATATTTGTCTTTAGTGTCAGGTGGAAGTATAGCTGGTAGGACTGTGTTTTATATTTTATATATTTTGTATGGAGAAATATATGCAATAGGTAAAAAAATTAATTAATAAATATGACACTTTTGAACTGGTTGCATTATTGCCCTATATATTTATTAAAATACAAAATATTGCATGTTTAACCCTTATTTATTTGCTGTTTTTTTTTTTTTTTTTTTAGCATCTTCTGTTTCGAATGAAAATGGTGAGGTTATGCTAATTTTTTTTTTTTAATAATTGCAAATGTATAATTTTTATTATACTCTTCTATTTGTAACTTTAGATTCCTTATCATTCGAACAATACCAAAATTATCGCTCCCAACACCCGGGACCTCTCTCAGAGAGGTCCTTCAATAAATGGAAACGTAATGGCGGTATGGATGAGCCCTCCTTTAAATGGAGGGCTCATCCATACCGGGGTGTTGGGAGACACCGAAGAAAAAACAGCAACCAAAAGGTTGTAAATGTCTTCTATCAGTAGAGATATTTATGACTTTTTAGTTGCTGCTTTTTCTTCGGTTTTTTTTTTTTTTTTAATTTTGTAATTATTTACTTCGGTGTTTTATTATAATTTTGTATTTTTTTTTTTAAATATATTACGTTGTATATTTGATTTGTTTTAATCTTTTTTAATAAAATTTTTAATTGTTTTCTCACCAATTAAACCTGACTTTAAATTTAAAGCCCTCTTAAATACCCCTCCCTAAATTCTAAAGTCGAAAGTTGAATTGATTCATTATCCAATTATCATAATATAATGATGCTGCATTCTTTTGTTAAAAACAATTATTTGGTACTGCTTTTAAAATTTACCAAAACCCAAGGCAATATATTTAGCTATATAAATACAATTTATTTATCTCAATTCTATTCTTTATCTTTTATGTTTATAGTTTGGCTCCTTAAAGCATTTTATGTTTTGCTCTTTTTATAATGAATATTTTAAATCCGTTGTGATGTCTTTTAAATTAAACTAAAGTTTACTAAAAGCCAACATAAAAATTACGTTTTTGAACAACACCAAAAAGAACAGCTGCATCCCTCAACAACTGCTGCAGTATCACAATAGGTTACCAAAAGCAGGTATACTGTTTTCCAGTTGTTGTTTTTTTTCATATATATTATGAAACATTCATAATACTATAGTACGATTGTTTATATCTCATTCATTTTTTTTTTCTTTATCTTTAAGTGTTAATAATTTTATTCTTTGAATGATTTTAGTGAAACAAGTCGGCTTTTCATTAAAGATATTGGTTTTAAAATTGAACATCATCGGCAAAATGCTTACAAAATTAGGTAGTTTTTAAAAATCTGTTTTCTATTTAATACACTTTTTTTTAAATATACTTTTTTAATATACTTTTCTATAACAATTCTACTAATATGGAATCACGTAGCTTTTTAAATATGTTTAATTGTCGTCCCTATCGGTAATAAATATTTTAAATTATTTGATATGGTTTTCTTTACAATAGGCTATGCTTGGCTCCTCGGTGCTGTAAATGGTGGCTTTAACTTTGTTTTTTTTTAAGAAAAATGTGTTTTATATATGCTTCTGTTTTAAAATATTTTTGTTACATATTTAACTATATATCATGTAAATAAATTTCTTTTAAAGATAAGTAAACTTGATACTTTCTTTTTTACGGATTTTCAAAAAGTGAACAAAGGTTTAAATATATTTTTCAACTGTCTTTTATGATTTTATCAATTTTATAAAAGCTGAATAATTACTTCAAAAATATTGAGTAAAATCCAATTGCTTTTATTATTAACCTGATCTATACAAAAATTAATGAAATAAAACTAATAATCTAACGCCAAGTTAAGGCAAAATGTATTTTATAAAATTAGTATAAATATGGATTGGATGTATGCTGAAATAAATATGTTGATATACGTTAGCTATTATAGTAAATCCATATATTCCTTTGTTTTTTTATAAACAAGTTTCTGCTGGATTACTAATTAAAAAAAAGGTTGGTTTAAATAATAATCTTTATCATAATATATAGGATCCGTATGCAGGGTAAGCCCTTTTCGGAATTGCGATATATTTTTCAACTTATAGTTTTTCCGGATATCCAACTTCTATGCCTACAAGTTTAAGTGTAATATTTTAGAGGTTTTAAAAATATTTAAAAAATATATTAATAACATTTAAAAGGTTTAGGTGCGATAGTGACATATTTTGAAGCTCTTCACTCAGTAAAATGAAAAGTTTAAAAAATAAAGAAACGACTCAGCTTAAAGCAAAATTAAGAGTAGAATATATTCCCAATATTTACCTAAACAATTTTACGGAATTTGAAAATTTGACATCGATTTTCTGTGCATATAATTTAAGTCATTTTATGGTTAACTTTATCTTTAATGAAGCTAAGAGTTCTCTTAAACTAAGAAGCCAAGAAAAATAAAAGTGAGCTCAACTAAAAAAATGTATAAATAAATTTATATTTCATTAGAGAAAGTAAATAAAGATCAAATTGTTAGTAATGATTTATTTACTACTAACCCGTATTACGGGTTGCTTACTGTATAAATAAATTTATATTTTATTAGAGAAAGTAAATAAATATCAAATTGTTAGTAATGACTTATATACTACTAACCCGTATTACGGGTTGCTTACAGCTAGTTATTATTATTAGTGCGCATAATTACGCATTGTTAGGCCCATAGTTCGTTTTGTTAATTACGGTTCTGCATTATGTAAAATACACTATTTCTTAGTTTTTAAGTTGTTTCTAGACTTTTCTAAGCGCAGTTATATATTCCACGCGGTCTTTTGAGTAAATTCACTGATTTTAAATTAAATGATTTAAAGATTAAATCAGCAAGCGAATTGGAGCTGATACACTTATCTTCAAGAAAAATTGATGTTGTTTATTTTTTAAAATAAAAATTTAAATAATTGTTAGTTTGTTATGTATACATATATGTATATCTATATGTATTTTCTCTTAGCAAAAATAGTTGAAAAGAGAAAAACAAAAAAATTTCTTCTGGATTTTGTCAAAAGGGTGTTGTGTTATGCTTCATTTTAAGGTATCTAAATATGTATTTATTTTTCATTTTTTAGAATAGGTTAGAACTAAATTGATGGGTAAAATAGTTTTTTTAGTACAATGTTTCTTTTTTAAGAAAACTGTTTCAGTTTGGTTGTTCGTCTTTTTAACAGAACAGTTTTTTTTAGAACAGTTTTTTTTAGAACAGTTAAGAGGAGCTGATCGCTTTTTTTAGTAAGTTCAAGTTATTTTCTCATACATAAATTAAGATTTTCGATTTATTTCAGTCTATTTTATATTTCTCTATACCTATATATATATTTTCTCTGAGGATAAATAATAAGGAATAGAAAGTTAAGAAAATTTCTTCTGCACTTTGTCAAAAGAGTGTTGTTCTATGCTTCATTTCAAGGTATCTAAATATGTATTTATTAGAAATTTTTAATTTTGTACTTAAATAGTTTCTTCTTTTTCATTGCTATAGATTAATATATACTGATTGACATAACTTCATTTTTATTAACAATGTTGTGCATTGTATCAGCATTCTTTGTTACATTAAAAATAATTGATGCTGATAAATATTGTTTTATAGTTGTTAAAAGTTTGCATATATGTTTATATTACACTCGAAGTTAAAAAAGTTTTTGAGAAATACGTGTATTTGGTGATATATTTTATATAGTTGTTTATATAAATGTGTTTTTATAATGGTATGAAATGTATTTTATCTAATGTGTATATGATTGTTAAATGAGGTGATATATGTTATATAGTCGTTTATTTAAATGTGTTTTAAAATAGTATGAAGTGTATTATATCTAATTTGTGCAAGATTGTTAAATAGGGTGTTTTTATATACTAAGTAACATTAAAAAAATATATTGTGTTTTTATAATTAGTATATATCTTTATATAATGTTGTTTCCATGATTTCAAAGTGGAATTACTTGGCAAATGTGTAGAGCAAGATTTATCAACCTTACCAGTCAAGTGATGTTACTGCTTTAGGTCTTAGTGTTGCCTAGCTTTTAATATAACTGTTCTGAAAACACATTGCATTATCTTTAATAATTTTTCGCGTAATATTGTTACCTTTGGCTTATCTTTACGTTGGTGTCAGCTGTTAAAAAAGATTAATAGTTAGTTTCATTACTAGAGCTCACTGCTTTTATTTATTTACTAAAATTCTTTCAAGACTATTTCGCTATAAATTTTGTTTATCATGAAAAAACAATATTTAGCAACTACTACTCAGGTATCACAACAGCTGATCTCTATCAGGTACATTGATTTTCAATTCATATATGATGTTTTTCTTTGTATTTACTTATTTGTTACGTTTTTAATTTCAGATTTATAGTGGTTTTATTTGCTATAGAAGAACAAATCATTTTTAATTTTTTAAAAATATATATCTACTCCAGTCAACATTCAAAGTTCAATGTTACATATACCATTTTTAAGTAGCTTCTAGGCTTTTTTAATGCTTTTCTTATTCAAGTGGTTTTATAAGCAAGGTCTGCAAAAAAATTTGAGCTGAAAAGTTTTTCAGCTTTCAAGGAGTATCAATGTTGTTCTCTGTTTAATTTAATTTGTTTAAATAGAGTAGTTTTAGTAAATAAATGTTTGTTTGTTTTTGGTTTTTTACTTATTTGTTTTCAGATTCTTAAGAACTAGGCAACTTAGCAAAGCAAGATTTATTTTATTTTGTAGTGCAATTGGAAAGAGCTAAAGTGCTTTTTAGTCACTTCAAATCAT